GTAAGTAAACACGAAAGGTCTATAAAAAAAAAAAAATATATATATATATATATATATATATATATATATATATATGTGTATAAATAAAACCATTGAAACTAGTGACAATCATAAAATCATATGAACCATAAGAAGTTTGCACAGTGAAAAATGAATAAATAAATGGAAAGTTACACATATATAAAAAATAATAAAAATCCTTCCTGGCACTAATGTAAGGAGCAACACTGAAACCAGAGTATCCACCCTATTTCATCCTGAGCCTGGTAACTGGTAATTCATCCACTCATTACGGAGCTTCCTGCCCAGACTAAAGCTGGCCATACATGTATAGATTTTCGTTCAAGAATTTTAGTTTCAAGAATATTCATTTGATTTTCTAACCATTAGTGGGGTCAAATCAATGTTTGTTTTTGACAGCAATGACAAGAAAATTCGAAGGAGCAGGAAGGAAAATTTATCTCAATCAAACAAATTTTCAGCCAGTGCATGTAGTTATTGGTCAGAAATTACATTTGGTTTAAAATCAAATGTTAAAAGCGAAAGACAATTTTCGAACGACATTCATCCACTCATTGAATGTTCAAAGAATTTTCATACAAGTTTTCTTATGAATATTCTTGTCCAAAAATCTACACATGTATGGCCAGCTTTAGGCTTCTCAGTGCAGGGGCAGCATGTGTGTGAGCAAAAAAAAAAGGTCACCTCAGGCTGCATTCACTCCCAACTTACTCATTATTCTCTAGATAACAGGGTGAAAATGGATATGCAAACACCATGGCTACTGGAGGAGTAGGTAGATGGTGCTAGATCTTTAGAAAAAAATCTCACTCAATGCCACTCAATGAAATTGGCCACTCAATGAAAATGGAGGAGAAGCAGTTTAACCTTAAGCTGTGTAGGGGGTCAGAGCAGTAAGAACAATCAGAGGTGTTGATAGTTTCAAAATTCATAGATGAGCATCTTAACTAACGTAATATTCAGGGATATGGGAATTGGTATTTACATGCACTCACCTACATGGGTTAAACTGGATGGACTGGTGTCTTTATTCAGCCTCACCAACTGTGCAACTGTGTAATTCTATAGGGTGGTATGAAATTGGTGATCTGATGTGTTTTGACACTGGGAAGTCAGAATGCCAAATATAAAAAAAGAACACCACACTATAAGACCGAAATTAAATATGAATTTTTATTCTATTAAAATGGTTCAAACAAAACTCGCAGATGCAGTCAACACATTTTGCACATATTGGGGGCTCAGAGGTGCTCCCTTATCAGGGATAAAATGAAGACAAAATATTTACATAGGAAATAGATACTGGGAAATGTTCATTAAATAAAATGCACTTAGTAAGGCTAGGTTCACATCTGTGCAGGTGGTGCCGCTGTGGATCTGCATGAAAATCCATGCAGCCACACCACCCACACAGAGAAATGCGTACCCGTGTGCGGGTGCCATTAGTTTTTTTCTTATCTTCTGGTGCTAAAAAGGGTTTCCTGCAAAAATATTGTCAGGTACTTGTCAGCATCAGGGTCTGAAAAGAGTCCAAAAACACACTGATTAGGGTTCAGCATCAGAGGTGAGCAATTTGATTGTGTAAAAAGTTAACTACTTGGATCCAGTAATGTTGCATCACAGGACAGGCCTACAATAAATTATATAAGGTGTCTCTAGCAGTGGAGCATCTTCATTTGCACCATTTAACTGAATAAATTAATTGTGAATTCCAATCTTATGGTGTGATGTGTCTGTTTTTTCCATTTTAACATTATGGAACACTCTATTGCATGGGAGTTGGTAGTGTTGGAGTTGGAAAGACAGGTTTACAGAAGCAGAAGGGAAAATCTCACCAGGGGGTAATGTTTAGTTATGAGACTAACTTCACACAGCTTTAACACAGGATAAGAATATTTATTTGCAGCCATATAACTGAAATTTTTCAAATCCCACTGGAGCTGAAAATAACTGTCACCTTTTTGAAAATAAGGATTTTTATACTGCTGTGTTAATGTTAACTTTGTGAGCCTATATCCTGGTAAGTAATCTGCAGGTGGGGGTAAAAGGTGACCCTAGAAGCTGCCCAACCTGATGGTGCCCAAAAGAACATGTAACTCCTGAGAATAGCTGAACAAAAGTAAAAAATCGTTGGCTAGTGAAAAATGTTCACATATGTATTTCAACTTTGAATTCAGCCATTTGTTTTGCCTTAACTTATACATTTGTGAATTTTATGAATAACTATTATATAAAACATGTTAATACCTGTGGTTGTGATGACCCTTCCTCTTGAAGGAAGATTAGTTTCTGTCGAGAAATGGATGTGGTTTTGTAATATTCAACAAGTTCATTGATAGACTTGAACTTTTCAGTCCATAAGCTGTAATTCCCCAATTTGTCTCTAATAACTTTGAAATGCTGCACATCTTCCTCATGCCTAAAATAAACCAAAAAATATATACATTTCTTTCAAACGTGATATTTGTCTTATGCTCATGTTGTGTACAAGGACAAATCCAACATCCTTTCCTGGAACATCCCCATGTTAGCACATGCAGGTGTGGCCCCCTCAACAAGAACCCAAAGACAATTTCTTAACCAAGCCAATAAAGATTTATCTCCAGGCAGGAGATGTTCATTTTGACACATGGACAGCACCTGTGTGTATCTTTTTTCCCTTTTAAGCACTTTCAGGATCTAATTTAAGCATGTACTGGTTATGCAGCTTTTTTATCTTTTAATCCTTGCCTATATTTCAATTTAAACTGGAGTTATGATCGCTTCCCTAGGTTGCTTGTTTCAGGGTGGTTTCTTTCTCTTGCAGCATCCTATGAAGCCACTCTTGCATGCAGGGACTAGAGTTGAACTGTATCAATAGAAATACACAGCCCTGTCCTAGGATGGCAAGGCACTCCCTCTTCTTCTCCTCCAACCCTTTCCCTTATCCAAGCTAACAGACTTGAGACTGTATTGTCCACTATTAACTCTTTCCTGTGAAAACCAGAAATTCAGGGAAGCAGCGCACTGTGCAGGAGCCAATGTAACTGGAAGCGCTGCAGTAAGAATTTAAATAGCTTACTGGAGAGTTTATTTTATTGTGCTCAGTGTGTTAAACTAAAAATGCTGAAGGTTTAATAACGTTATTCCTTTAACATTACATTCCAGCTCAGTCCTTGTCTTTTCCTTTGTAAAGGCCCGATTTTGTATCCTAAATGGTTGATGAATGCCTGAGCCTGAGGGTTGTGTATCTGCTGACATAATATAGCTGCCATGGACCATTATATACTGCATCTAGATGGACCATTCTTTTTACTACTTTCCCCCTTCCCTTATTGCTTTACAAATTTTCTCAATTGCTCTGAAATTTAATTTCTGTTTGTTTCCTAGACTTCTTGGCTTCTTTTACTTTCAGGCAATAGTGGAAAGTATTTTGTAATTTTTTATGTTTCTAGGGCCTCACAGAGTAAATCTTTTTACCCTCCACCTTGACAGAGGAACAAAGATATTCTGTTCAGCATTATTTTTCTGGTATAGATCGCTCAGAAAAAGGTAAGATTGCTGAAGATCATGCTTTTGATTTTGCATTAGGCTCTCCATTTATAGATACTGTTAAGGATATGATTACTTGGGAAGATGAGGTGGACTAACCCAAACAAGTTAGGAAAAATTATCTTTACCCTAAGAAACAGCCACTAATTACAGATGTAAAGGATTGTAGAAGATGAGTGGGTCACCATAAGTACCAGGTTGCCAAAAGGTATATCCCTTGTCCCTAGGGGATTAGGAATTGGTGGGGATGGATCCCAAGGTAGATGCAGCACTGATGAGGTTGGCAAGAAACATAAGCTTACCCTTAAATAAAGTTGTCACCTTTAAGAACCTTATGGAAAGAGGGGCCCATAAAAAAAGTATATTCAGTGGTCGGAGCTACTGCCAAACAAGCTGTTGCTCTAACTTCAGTGGCCAGGTCCCTAAAAGTTTGGGCAGAGAATGTGGAACATGCTTTCCACTGCTCCCAGAACCTTTTGGAAGGTTCTCTTGGCTCCATTAGGTTTTATTTGGTGAAAGAAAATTCACCAAAATCTTTTTTCTTGATCATTGTCTGGTGGTAGCAAAGTCTCTAATACAGCTTTTACCACGTTGAAAAATAGTTATGTGCCAGCTTATGAATTTTGGATGGTAGGTGAATGTCAAAAAGAGTCATGTGGAACCCTGCTGGTCCAAAGTCAGGCCTCTACCAGGGACTGTATCAATGTCACTACAAATTCTAGTCTCCAGGACAGGGGGCTCATTTTCAAAGCAGGTCGGCTCACAGGATATAGAGTAACTATGAGAAAGCTGGATTTTCTCCAATTTGGAGTGGACAAAGATTTTGCCCACAATACCATTAAAATACACATTTCTGCTATTTTGGCTATGACTGACAACCAATGGCTGTCAAACCCTCTCATTATATAAATTTGTAAGGGCACTTCTAAACGTTAGACAAGCCAAATGATCTGTTTTATTAAAATACAATCACTAAAAAGTTAGTTACCAAAGAAATGTTCCAATAAATACAACACTTCTATTATACCAACATCATTACGCCAATATAATAAAGAGAGGAAATACACTCACTGGATGCTGCTATTATTAAAAAACTCAAAATAATAATAAAAATGTGAAAAATATACAAATCACAAATAATAGCGCAAACCAAATCACACAACTAAATATAACCACCACCAAATAAGTGCATATTAATAGTGCAAACAAAAAATCAATAAATAGGGAATCTCAATATAGTCCATTCAAAAAAGTCCATATAAACATGATCCCTCGGAAGAAGTAATTGGACGAAACGCGTCAGCGTGTGGCCTTCCTGTGACGTCACTACTCATGCTGATGCACGTGTCCGGATCACATGATCGCGCTATTACCATCTTGAATGCGGGCTGGCTGGTGAGACACAGGATGCAGAGACTGGAGCTCTGATATAACAAAACGCCTTGTTTTTATTTGCTCATTGTGAGTGTGATTTGTTTGACAATAAATTTGTTGGATGATACTGCACTATGGCGAGTATTTTCTTTACCCACATGTGCTAATCTGGATATGAGAGGATCTTCTCTGGAGTTTGTTTGGTGATATGCTGGATACATAGTAGTATGCTGAGTAATTACCAACACATGAGGATCGTCCTTTGAAGTCTGTTTGGTGAATGCTGGATACAGTGGGGCAAAAAAGTATTTAGTCAGCCACCAATTGTGCAAGTTCACCCACTTAAAAAGATGAGAGAGGCCTGTAATTGGCATTATAGGTAGACCTCAATTATGAGAGACTGAATGAGAAAAAAAATCCAGACAATCACATTGGCTGATTTGAATAGAATTTATTTGCAAATTATGGTGGAAAATAAGTATTTGGTCACCTACAAACAAGCAAGATTTCTGGCTCTCACAGACCTGTGCCTTTTTCTTTAAGAGGCTCCTCTGTCCTGCACTCATTACCTGTATCAATGGCACCTGTTTGAACTTGTTATCAGTATAAAAGACACCTGTCCACAATCTCAAACAGTCACACTCCAAACTCCACTATGGTGAAGACCAAAGAGCTGTCAAAGGACACCAGAAACAAAATTATAGACCTGCACCAGGCTGGGAAGACTGAATCTGCAATAGGCAAGCAGCTGGGTGTGAACAAATCAACTGTGGGAACAATATTTAGAAAATGGAAGACATACAAGACCACTGATAATCTCCCTCAATCTGGGGCTCCATGCAAGATCTCACCCCGTGGGGTCAAAATGATCACAAGAACAGTGAGCAAAAATCCCAGGACCACACGGGGGGACCTAGGGAATGACCTGCAGAGAGCTGGGACCAACGTAACAAAGGCTACCATCAGTAACACACTACGCCGACAAGGACTCAGATCCTGCAGTGCCAGACGTGTCCCCCTGCTTAAGCCAAGACATGTCCGGGCCCCTCTGAAGTTTGCTAGAGAGCATATGGATGATCCAGAAGAGGATTGGGAGAATGTCATGTGGTCAGATGAAACCAAAATAGAACTGTTTGGTAGAAACACAACTCGTCGTGTTTGGAGGAGAGAGAATGCTGAGTTGCATCCAAAGAACACCATACCTACTGTGAAGCATGGGGGTGGCAACATCATGCTTTGGGGCTGTTTCTCTGCAAAGGGACCAAGACGACTGATCCATGTACAGGACAGAATGAATGGGGCCATGTATCGTGAGATTTTGAGTGCAAACCTTCTTCCATCAGCAAGGGCATTGAAGATGAAACGTGGCTGGGTCTTCCAACATGACAATGATCCCAAACATACCGCCCCGGCAACAAAGGAGTGGCTTTGTAAGAAGCATTTCAAGGTCCTGGAGTGGCCTAGCTAGTCTCCAGATCTCAACCCTATAGAAAACTTTTGGGAGGAGTTGAAAGTCCGTGTTGCCCAACGTCAGCCCCAAAACACCACTGGTCTAGAAGAGATCTGCATGGAGGAATGGGCCAACATACCAGCAACAGTGTGTGCCAACCTTGTGAAGACTTACAGGAAACATTTGACCTCTGTCTTTGCCAACAAAGGATATATAACAAAGTATTGAGATTAACTTTTGATATTGACCAAATACTTATTTTCCACCATAATTTGCAAATAAATTCTTTCCAAATCAGCCAATGTGATTGTCTGGATTTTTTTTCCTCATTTTGTCTCTCATAGTTGAGGTCTACCTTTTGATGGGGTGTTTTTGAGCACTGAATACCACATTGCTTATGAAGGAGGATCTCATTACTTCATTTACTGAGGATCATGTTTATATGGACTTTTTTGAATGGACTATATTGAGATTCCCTATTTATTGATTTTTTTGTTTGCACTATTAATATGCATTTATTTGGTGGTGGTTATATTTAGTTGTGTGATTTGGTTTGCGCTATTATTTGTGATTTGTATATTTTTCACATTTTTATTATTATTTTATTAAAATACTGTCTGACATTTGTTTTGAATGCTTTGACTTCTCCACAGTTTGATCCAATTAAGACCGTATTTTTGGGGATCTTAGTTTTGAAAATCTCATTTCTCCTTGCTATGTTCTCACCAAAGTGAATTTCAGAATTGCAGGTACTGTTAGCAGTTGAGCCATACTTTAAGATCTTCCATGAAAAAGTTGTACGTAGGCAATCTCTTGATTTTAACTCAAAGATGGTATATATTTTCCATCTTGCTATGAAATGGTATTTGCCAGCTTTTGTTTCCTACTCCTACTTTGAAGGAAGTGGGAAAGTTTCATATACTAGACTTAAGGGTCAATTCACTATGAGATAAATACCGCATGAATTTTTGAGTTAAAATTACTCATGTGGTATTTATTTCAAAAGTAGTCAATTCACTAAAAACATGCGTTATTTACCAAATGCATTAAATATTTATGTTTTGCGTATGTTTGGGTGCTATTTTTTGCAGGCTAACATTGCACCAGAATGCACACTACATTGTAGTGAGCTTTCATTCACAAAATGATCTCCCTCTAATGAAGTGTTTCATTACTGAGATCAGAGAAGAACATTTTTATACTGATTCATTGTATAGTTTTCACTTTCTGGCCAGTGCAGTGTTCCTCTATTTGTTATTTTGTATATTTCTAAAATACCACCAGCAAACACTTGGTGATAAATAACGAATGTGTATGTTTTTTAACCACTTGCCCTCCAAAGGATTTACCCCCCTTCTTGACCAGGCCATTTTCTGCGATACGGCACTGCGTTACTTTAACTGACAATTGCGCGGTCATGCAACGCTGTACATAAATTAAATTTATGTCCTTTTTTTTCCCCACAAATAGAGCATTCTTTTGGTAGTATTTGATCATCACTGCGTTTTGGTTTTTTTTGTGTGCTGTAAACAAAAAAGACCGACAATTTTGAAAAAATATATTTTTGACTTTTTGCTATTAAACATATCCAATAAAAAAAATTAAAAAAATCAAATTTCGTCATAAATTTAGTCCAAAATGTATTCTGCTACATGTCTTTGCTAAAAACAAAATCCAAATACAATTAAGTGGTTTATGTGCAAGTTATAGCATCTAAAAATGGCAGTATATTTACTGGAATTTGTTTTTTATACTAGTAATTCCGGCGATCAGCAACTGTGGGAATTCGGAGGGCATTCTGATACTGGGTGGGAACTGACTAACTGCCACTGACATCCCAATGACACTAATACAGTGATCAGTGCTAATAAAAAGCACTGACACTGTACTAATAATAGCTTATGTTAGCAATTAATTGGAGCATCGAGTGATCAATAGAGATTAATTGCTAATAAGTACTAATTTTTTCTCAGAAAATAGGTGCAGAAACTGTAAGTCCCCATCACACCACTTGCCATCAACATCATCAACACCTCCCCCTCTTCCAGTGTGCTACATACAGAATGCAGAGTTCAGGAGTGCTTGACATACAGAGTGCAGGGTTCATCAGTGTAATATGCACAAAGTGCAGAATTCAGTTGTGCCCTATGTATAGAGTGCAGAGTTGAGAAGTGTGTTACATGTGGAGTGCAGGATTTGAGCAGTGTGCTGCATGCAGAGTGCAGAGTCGAGGAGCCTGCTACATACAAAGGGCAAAATGTAGCGGTGTTCTATGTACAGATTGCAGGGATGAGCAGTGTGCAGTGTACAGAGTGCAGAGTTCAGGAGTGTGCTATGTACAGGGTTGAGGAGTGCACTATGCACAGAGTGCAGAGTTCAGCAGAGCACTGTGTACAGAGTGCAGGGTTCAGTAGTACGCTGCATACACAGTGCAGAGTTCATAATTGTGCTACATACAGATTACAGTATTTAGGAATGTGCTACATACAGACTGTAGGGTTCAGGATTGTACTACATACAGAGTGCAGAATTTGGTGTTACATTCAGAGTGCAGAATTTTGGATTGTGCGTTACACTCAGAGTGCAGGGTTCAGGAGTATGCTAAGTACACTTTGAAGGGTTCAATAGTGCGCTAAGTACATAGTGCAGGGTTCAGGACTGTGCTACATACAGAGTGCAGGGTTCAGGAGTGTGCTACATACAGTGCACTGGGTTCAGGAGCACACTGCTTACAAAATGCAGGGTTCGGGATTGTGTTACATTCAGAGTGCAGGGTTGAGAATTGCGCTATATACAGAGTTCATATCTCACAGACCAGTTTGCAATTCCCCTCTCCTCCCAGTACAAAGCCCCCCCCCCAAATTTCTGCCCCCCTCCCCCCCAGTACAGAGTACTCTCCTTTCTGCCTAGTACAGAGTGCCACTCTTCCTCTTTCAGACATTTCCTCTCCTCCCTGTCCAGTACACACCCCTTCTCTCCTCCACAGAAAACAATGCACTGCAACTTACAGTAGGAAGTCACACTGCAAGTGCAGGCTTCTGGTGATGCTGCAGGTGTGAGGATAGAGCTGTGTGTCCCGTCCCATCCAGTCCCATCCCGGCCCCTCCTTTGTTCCGCCCTAATCCCTCCTCTGTTGTATATGTAGGGAGAGTACGAGGGTTTTGAGTGCTACTGGGATCGCCATCACTTCTAAAATACAGAAACCAGGCTTCTGTGTTTATAAATGACTTGTGAGCAGCAATGCACGGGGCCAGTGCTGAAGGTTCCAGCTGAAAGAAAAAGCCATGTTACTTGTGCATTAAAAAACTTGAAACTGCGGGCTGGATGAACCCCGTCAAAGAAAGGGCCCAGGGCACCCTACATGAGACCCGGAGCTACCCCTTTATCGGCAGCCCTGCCTGTACTCAGTGTGTTACACACTTCTGATCCCTACAATCTGTTCATTAGATACTCCTGGTCCCAGCACTTAGTGTTGCATAATCCTGATCATTGTGATGTGTGCTTTATTCACTTACGAACCTTGAATTCTGTGCTACACCCCCCCAACCTTCAGTCTGTTCATTATACACACCTAACCCATAACAGAGTGGGCTCAGGCTTAATTTAACCATACAATTTTAAGATCCACAGTACAATTTGCCCACACACACAATTCAATATGGTGTAGTAATAGCAGGTGCTCAAAAACCAAGACTGGCTATCATAGCATTTGTAACATTACAGTGCAACCATTTTTCCTTAAAGGCTCTTTGGGGAACTCCTTATGATGATAGGCCTCAAGAAAACTTCTTTCATTAAAATTATCTTAATGAAACTGCAGATATTACATACAATTAATTGTTTGATGCAAAATATGTATGGTGTTAGCAATAGCCTATTTTTATTAGCTATTATCTATTTAAAGGAAACCAGTTCAAAACATTAAGGCTGTGATAGTTGAACTTCCTTGCTAATATTTTAATTAGAAATTAAACACTTTCCCGCCCGGCCTATAGCAGAATGACGGCTGCGCAGGACACTCGCTGTTGTGACTGGGCGTCATATGACATCCTGTCAAAACAAGCCGCGCAGCGGCGTGATTTGTCACCGGCTGTGTCCACGAGACACAGCCATTGACATATCACTACACCAGCCCGTTGCCAGTGTCATGTGACTGCTGTGACCAGTCACAGCAGATCACATATAAATTGTCTATAATGGATGGCTTCCTGCCATGCCATCCATTGTATACAATTGCGTTGTTAGCTGTGATTGGTCAAAGCAGTCACATGATACAGACAGGGCCATTCACAGCCCATCTGTATCATGTGATCAGCTTTGCCCAATCACAGTTAATCATAACAAAAGACTGGATGAATCAGTTTCATTCAATAACAATGATGGAAATATCAATGAAATACATTGGTATTAGCAATCATAATGTGTTTAACCACTTGAGCCCCAGAGGATTTACCCCCCTTAATGACCAGGCCTTTTTTTGCTGTTTGGCACTGCACTAATTCAAATGATAATTGCACGGTCATGCAATGCTGTACCCAAACGAAATTTACGTCCTTTTTTTCACACAAATAGAGCTTTCTTTTGGTGGTATTTTATCACCTGTGCGCTTTTTATTTTTTGCGCTATAAACAAAAAAAACCACGAAACTTTTGAAAAAAAACCAATATTTTCTACTTTCAGCTATAAAAAATATATCGTAAACTCAAAGTTAGTCATAAATTTAAGCCAAAATGTATTCTGCTGCATGTTTTTGGTAAAAAAAATCCCGTGCATTAGCGGGCAAACTGGCGCTATCTAGGAGGGGCGCTAACACTATCGGAAGTCACCAGTGACACTAATACAGTGATCAGTAAAAATCTGTTCACTGTAATCAATGACACTGGTGACAGTGCAGTGAAGGGGTTAACTGGGGGGGGGGGGCGATCAAGGGGTTAAATGGGATTTCTGGTGCACTAGCGGGCAAACTGGCGCTATCTGGGAGGGGCGCTAACACTATCAGAAGTCGCCAGCGACACTGATACAGTGATCAGTAAAAATCTGTTCACTGGTCAAATACAATGGTGACAGGGCAGTGAAGGGGTTAACTGGGGGGGGGGGGCGATCAAGGAGTTAGACGGGATTATTTGTGTATTAGCGGGCAATCTGGCGCTATCTGGGAGGGGCGCTAACACTATCGGATCACTGATACAGTGATCAGTAAAAATTGGTTCACTGATCAGTGACACTGGTGACAGGGCAGTGAAGGGGTTAACTGGGGGGCGATCAAGGGGTTAAATGGGATTACTGGTGTACTGGCGGGCAAACTGGCGCTATCTGGGAGGGGCGCTAACACTATCGGAAGTCGCCAGCAACACTGATACAGTGATCAGTAAAAATTGGTTCACTGATCAGTGACACTGGTGACAGGGCAGTGA